TAAAGTTTTGAAACAATGACTTCGATCCCTTGTTGGCCCACATTGCTACTTGAACTTTAACAACTATAGATTTGTGGCTTCTAATCAGCCAAAAGGAGCGGCGATCAAAAAGAATAGCGCTTGCTGACGCCTCGGGGCAAAGATTTTGAATATATCGTTCCACTTGACCTAACGCAACCTCAGTAATACTGAGCTTCCTTTCAAACAAAATGATGCAGTCAAACAATTCTTCTTCTGCTACTCCAGATCGAAAATCATTCGGACGTGAAACTCCATCATCTGGAACTGCTTCAGCACGATACATCCCTCGGTGAGTCGCAAACCCATCAGGTTTAAGATCGGTACTCGTAGTCACAAGTGTAGACTGGGACAACCACTGATATCTCTCGCTATTGACGAAGACAAGACCAGAGCTTTGTAAGATGGTGCTGAAAAACGGAGCGATAAAAGCGTCGAAAACAGCTTCATTCCGAATGGCATTGGCTTGAAGCTGAATGTCAGCCGACCAAAATGCTTCCCCATCATCAGTTGGTGGGATAACAAAGAACAGTCCGTCCTTTTTTAATCTATCCAGCAAGATTTGACCCAATGCCCCATCAGTGTAGGATTTGTCAATTTTATCTGGTAAAGAGGCCGCGATTTGCTCAAGTAGCATCTCTGTCCGTGAATGGCGAACACTAGCTTGTCGAGCCAGCAATAATGATTCGTGAAGATACGGAGCCACCACCAGCACGTGAATTTCATCAGTGGATGGCGACAGCATCCCCGCCAACGCTTTCTTAAGGCTGGACTCTCCCTGCAGTTCCCTATCTTCGTGCATGAGGGATTTGATGAAAGCAGTCTTCTCGCCTTTCTTCAGCTTTTTGACATCTTCAGTGAGGCTCGACAGCCATGCGTTGTCCCCCGCATTCGCAAGAAAAAGCTGCAGGTCCTTGGCTGTACCCGTGTACTGTAGCTTTGGTACGATGGCCTCCTTCAAGTCACCAACCGACATACACTGATCAATAGTAACCGGGAACGCGCTCCCCGCCCTACCAACGACGACACAGAAGATCTTCAGCATCTAACTCACTGTTAAACTCGTACTTAAGAGGAGAATCATGGTGTGACAAGGTGGTGTTTTGTGGACGCGACGAGAACAGTAACATCCAGCAGAAAAATCTGCCTGTTTTATTCTTAATTAGATTTTACATAAAATAGGTTTTTACCCTTATTCAGTTCGAGAAACGAGGCGACTTTTTGACCCGTGATAGCGCAAAAACCGAACATCGCCCTCAACTTTCGCTTAGAAATTCTAATCTTTTTCTCAATCCAGAACGTGCCAGATGCTCACTTTGTACTGTACTGTTGTTGGTGTGGGTTCCGTGTGGACATTGACGCGAACAAGTCTGTGGGACACATGATGAAGGCAGTAAGTAAAAAAAATAAAGAGAATTTAGCGACAATCACGTGCGACGCCAAGGACCTGCAGGAGAAGGCGTGGGGCAACGCAAGGCTGTCGAGCGTGGAGAATGCCACTTGAACGATTTGTGGCCTCTTGACCACACAAAATCGGCAATTTCTACTCTGATGGATTGAGTCAAGTTTTGCTTGATAGATTGAGAAATGACGACTGGGCTTTGATACCCCTCCAACTGATGAAGCATTTTGGTCGGCCGAAATTCAGCTACAAGCCAACGCCATCCGCAATGAGGTTGCTTTCGATGCCTTTATCTTCTCCATTTTCGGCAACATCTTACACAGCTCTGGTCTTGTCTTCGTCAATAGCGAGAGATATCAGTGATTGTCTCATTCAACATTTGTGACTAAGTGTACCGATGTTGCGACTCACCGCGGGATGTATCGTGCCAAGGCAGTCTCAGATGATGGAGTTTCACGTCCGAATGATTTTCGATTTGGAGTAGCAGAAGAAGAATTGTTTGACTGCATCATTTTGCTCGAAAAGAAGCTCAGTATTACTGAGGCTGCGTTAGGTCAAGAGGAACGATATATCTTTGCCCCGAGGCGTCAACAAGCGCTATTCTCTTTGATCAT